ATATGTGGTGTCCTTTGGTGAGGCAGAAGTCACGGGGGGAGACTGTAACCAGGAAGAGTGACCCATATAAATGTGCTCAGAGGAGCATGAAATGCAGCCTGGTGATCCTGGGGCAGCACTTTATCTTCTGCCCCATTCCATGACATGACAAGTAAGAGACAAGCAGAGAGCCACACAGCTAACCAGTTTGTGGTGAGATGGGCTGGAGGCCACTGCTCTGTCTTATCAATATGGGATGGAGAAACTGCAGTGGGGGAGCATGAGGAAAAATCTGACATGGGAGCATCACTGCGAATGTGAGAGACTTGTCAGGTCTGTGCTCCCGTCTCCAAAGGAGCTGGTGTGAGACTGTATGTTACTGAGAGATTTATTTTAAAATGCATTATATCATTCTTAAAAAAAAAAAAAAAAAAAAAAAAAAAAGCAAAACCAGAATGCTAGACTATTACAGTCTCGTTCTAATAAGCCAGTCAAAATATAGACTACTGCGTTTGCACCTCCTTGCATTTCGAAAAGGAAATTGCTTTATCGGATCAAGCCAATGGTCCGTCTAGTCCTGTCCCTCATCTTCAATAGTGGCTGTTAATATAACAACAGAGGCAAGAAATTTTCCACACAGCAAGAGGCCAGCATGTTACCAAAAAGAAAAGTTTGGTTATTTATTTCAAAAATGTTTCGCACTAAGCAGCTCATTTCTTAATCATTTTGTTATTTATACAACCAAAGAGGTTTATTGAGCCATGCTCATGCATTTATTAGCTTGCAATGTTTGGCAATCTAAAGCACCTTTTGCAGCTTTCGTTCAGATTCATGATTTAAGCATAGATTACCAAACAACTAAGAGTCTTAAAAAAAAAAAAAAAAAAAAAAAAAACCCTCTGTGTGCTTTCATCTATGTGCTTCCCTGTACTATGACTCTCCCCCTGGCATTGTTAGAGGGATGCTTGCAGTAGAGGAGGCTGTATGCAAGGCTGTCCTGGTGCAATGAGACCTGTGTTCAGGTTTCCTATTACAAGATCAGCAAGATGTGAAGTGGGGTTACTCGAAAATGTAAGCCATTAACATAGTTCAGATTATGAGGTCTGGTGAGCTTTAAACAAGGGACAAACCCAACTTCCCAATTTTTACACATGCAATTATATACACGATTGCTTCTAAATCCATACAAAGCATTTTCTAGTGCTACATCAAGCAATAGCTACTGCTACAATGCTTTCTACAAATCAGTATTCCAACATAGCAAAACAAGAAAAAGCTAAGAAAGCTTTTTTTAGTGACTCTTTCCCATTTTATTTGAGTATGTACTGTCCTGCCACAACTCGTACTGTGAAGCATTGTCTTTATTTTTTCTCTCTTCTTTGAAAGTGTTTTTCAAAATACACTGTATGAAAGAAGCTCTATAAAAAAAATGCCTTGAACTGTTTATCTTAAAAATGTGACTCTTTTTCCAGTAGCAGTAGGAGAAAGTACATTAGGTGGCCATTATTATTTTGTCTTCTCTTTTGATAAATAACTGACTCTGTATGGTAAATAAGAATGGCTGGCAATGCTGTATAAAGAATCAAAGCACGGAAATCACTACCTTTCCAAGTTGTAACCAGAGCAAAAGGCAACAGCTCTGTAGCTGTCACCAGGAAAATGAATGACATTATTGTTGATTTTTCCACATTCATTCCTATGCCTGATGAGTTTTATATATCTGACTTAGTTATGAGGAATGTTTTGAAGTATATACTGATTGCTCACAAAACTGAATAACTGGGCCAAATTCCCTGCTGAAACAGCTCCAACACTGTGCTTCTGTATTTAAAAACTATTTCAAATCCATTTACAATTGATTCTGTGAAGCTCAGTACAGTATGTAAATGTTTTCTCACCCTAAAAAAAAAAGTAAGAGAAATCCTTTTTTAAGGGCACACTTAAATTCAGTGATCTAAAGATAATGGAGCAAATCTCCAGCTGCTTTAAAATGTCAGAGCTTCAACTACTTCAATGGAGCAAGGGAAATCCACATCAGTTGAGGACGCCCCTCTTAACACATAAAAATTGTCATGAATGGGGACAGGTCAGTGTTGAGCTCTGCTGACACAGGAGGACCCTTCTGTTATATTCATCCAAATCCAACTTTTGTCTCAATCCCTTTAAAATTCAGCATTTCAAAAGAAAAATGGAAAATGCATTTTCAAATGAAAAGCACTTGCTACCTGAATTATCTGGAGCTGTACTAAAAAATCAATGGGAGAAAGACAACAAACATGTCATTTGAATGAGATATTTAAATACAGACTGTAAATATGAGATTGAACATTAATTAATTAGATTTGTGGAGTCTTCACTTGCTGTAGCCTTTGTATCATCATGCAGTCTTTGTTTACTTTCATTTATTTTCTTTGTTTGATGACGTTTGACTAATAAATACATTGATGAATTGCTTCAGCAAATGCCATCCATATATCACAAAAATAGAATGTACTCAGTGTTTCTGGCACAGTGAGGCTAAAGGATTTGTTGTTGTTTGAACTTTCAGTACATGACAAAGGGAATACTACTGCTGTGCTGGATAAACTTTCTGATTTTTGTTTTAATTTTCAGTGAACAAACAGCTGCAGAATAATGTGACTTAATGAAGCATTTCTAATAAAATACTGCAGAAGTTAAAACAGGGACATAGAACTGCCTGCTCACTGATAGTTGTACTATTCAGAACAGTTTTTCAAGATGGTGATCACCTTTTTGTGTAGATGTACAGTATTAGGTAATGTGATTTTTCTGCCTTGCAAAGTCAGTGATTTCCTTTAACGTGATAACTATTTAGCATTTTTCTATTACTTATTTATAGTAAGTAAAACATATGATATAATTAATGCAATATATTGCTAATACACTATTTATGCCTCACACAGGTTGGCAAACAGTAATACAGCCTGCAATAAATTTGAGTGCAAAGATGCTCAGATCTAAAAAATTCCATAGTATGTTTTGCTCATCAGAAACACAGAGCCTGCATTTGTAAAGAGGTCCTTTATCAAGTCTGTCATCACCTGTGATGAAATTACGGAACTTCTTGGCTGCTGCATGTTTTTCTGCTGTCACAATTCAGTGTAAAGTATTATTTGCTTTATGTAAATCTAGACGGGGTTCAATGAATCATCACTTTGCAAGTTGCCAGTAAAGCAATCACCAATACCCATCTGTAGACACATCCACTTACTTCCGCACAGAACTAGTTATTCATGTATTCCCCACCAGAATTCTCAAGTGCATCACAAGCACCTACATGAGATCTCTCTGCTCATAGGAAGAGAAGGAGGAAAAGGTTACTTGGTCTCATATCTGGTATGATAAAAGACACTGCCACATTAGACGTCATTCTCTGATTAAAACCGTCTGACAGGAATCAAGATTTTATCTCAAAGTCACCCACTACCAGTAGCATATCTAAAATTAATACCACATTTTTGAAAGCCCCCTTCTGTTCAGACAACATGTGGAAACACTGAATAGTAATCCTGATCTGCAATTAACTAATTGAGCCAAGCTTTCCACTAAAATTGTGGTACTTGTATAGTTTATAACAGTAGCAGTACTGTAGTTTGGGGAATCAGGACTTTATGAAACCAAAAAACACATAGCTTTCAATATTGCCTCAGCAGTATCAGCTCCCCAAAATAATTTTTTCATAATGAAATTTATATGAATTACTTTACTACTTTTAATTACGCATAAAATAAATTAGAGACATCAATATGAAATGACTGTGCAATTACTGAGAAAAAGTGTAAGAGATGTAACCCTTGCAACCCCTGATAAAAACGCCTCTTTCCCAACTTCAGTTCAGCTATATTCACAGTACCATTGAACTGCTCGTTTTTAGTGCGTACCTTATGCTACAGAAAATAATTTTAATTTATCAATTTGACATCACTTAGGTCAGCCCATAAAGCAGCTTTGAAGTGTTAAACATATAGCAGGCTGAATGCTAATGTCTGAAGCCACTTGGTAAGACAGAGAAACCAGATAACAATTATCATTTAGTCAATAGTCATTTAAATGTATCCAGTGCTGCGAGAAGACCCTAAGACCCCGAATGCTTTATGGGGCTTCCAGGGATAGGGGCTGAGTATGTTTATTATTCAAATTGGCTGTTCTTCAAGAGTCAAAGCCCTGTTCCTTAAATACAGAGCTGGAGCCTGCTGGGGGGGACACTGGTGGCAGTGAAGTGCTTCGTGCCTTAAAAAAATACTGACAATCTCCGAGCAAAAGCTGGAAAGAGACAACTGTAAGTACACATACAATTTCAAGTGCTTCAAGCAATGATTTTAACTCCTGGTAAGAATGAACCACACAGCAGGGACATGAATGGCAACTCCTAACCAGGCAGTGCAAGCTAGTGCTTTTTATCCTTTGCCCAGATAACTGGGTGTCCGATCCTACAGTTCAAGGGAACAAAGCGGGTTATTTTAAAACTCACTCTTGCAAAGCTATAAATGGCAGGGAGCAAGGGAAGAGCCTTTCCACTGCAGAATACCGAACCTGTGGTGTATTTAGGAGGCAAATGAGTTCTCTGAAATGGGAAGAAAGCCACGCAGAGGGGCTGCATGCCCTACACACCACAAGTTGGGGAGCGCTACACACGGAAAGGGAGTCAAGACCCATCTCTTGATCGCTCCTGTTTTAAAGGATTCTCAAGGCGACTCCACGCTCTTTTAACCCGTGTCTGGAGCCGTCCGACAAAGCGTCCGGTCTCTGAAACCCCAAGTCCCCGGGGGCGCAGCGAGTGAGTGCCCACCCTTCCCTCACGAGCAGCGGGGCTGACAGACCCCTGGGTCCCCCAGCCCCCGCGGGTGAGGTACTTGGCCCGAATAAGAAGACCCCAAACGATGAGGGAAAAAAAAATAAATAAAAATAAAATAAAAATAAAACGCGGTGGGAGGGCGGCAGCTGACCCCCTCAGCCGGCCTCCCGCAACTTTGGGGCCCCACGGTGGTCGGCTCACCTACCTGCAGCCCCGCTCCGAGCTGGCAGCACCCCGCGAGTGGCCGCCTCCCGGCGAGGGGGAGCCCCGGCCTCACCGCCCCGGCATCGCCGGCGCCCGGGGGCATGGAGCGGCGCCGCGCCCGCCTCGGCTCCCCTTGGCTCGGCTCGGCACGGCTCGGCACGGCTCGGCACGGAGGGGAAAGGCAGGCAGGCAGGCGGCCGTCGGTGCCCGGCTGTCCCCCGGCTGTCGGGGAACGGAGCGGGAATCCGGCTGGGAGGATGCGGGAGGGAAGGCGAAGTGCGTGGGGAGGGAGGGGAGACTCGAAGTGGCTCGGAGTATTTAAAAAAAATAATAATAATAAAATAATCAAAACACGGAGAGGAGGAGGAGAAGTAGGGGCTGGCTGTGGGGCGAGGAAGTCCTGCAGCCTGGTGCGGCTCCGGCCCCTCCGCCAGCTGCGTGCGGTCCCGATTCAGCCCCGGCGGCGGAGGACGGGAGGAAAACCCGCGGCGTCCTGCAGCAATCCCTCCGTTCCCGCGGCTCTGATTGGCCTGCCTTCCCCACACGGCTCGCCTTCCCCTCCTGCTGCCTCCTTCTCCCTCTTGGGAAAAGTAATTGGAGAGCCGGAGCTTCACCTTCAGCACCAGCAGCAGCAGCAGCAGCTCCGCGCAGGGGCCGCCCAGCCGGGGGGCGGAGGGGGAGCCCGCCCTGCTCCTGCTCCTGCTCCTGCTCCTTCCCCTTCTCCTTTCTCCGCTCGTCGCCCCCCTGCCGAGCCCGCTTGGAGAGGGTCTGGCAGGCTGCGGGGCTCCGGCCGCCTGCCGCCCGCCCCCACGGCTCGGCTGTGCTCGGCACGGCTCTCCCTCCCCTCCCGTGCCCACCCTTCCCTTGCCGGGCAGCGGGCGGGGGGCTGCCAAGTTTCGGCACACACACACGTGGGAGGCGGCGGGGAGAAGAGGGGCACCCCCGCACCTCCCCCGGGACCGCCGCGATGGGGACGCGGGGACGGGACGGGCAGGGGGGAACCCGACGGCTCCCCCGGGGCGCGGGGCAGGGGTCGCGGCGGCTGGGGCAGGGGCAGGGGCAGGGTAGGGGCAGGGTAGGGGCAGGAGGGACGCGGCGGCGCCGGCAGCCAAAAGCTGGACTGTGTCTCCCTCCAGAGGGAGAAGGGAGGCACTCCCGGCAGCGGGGAAGCCCGCTTTCCCCCGGCGGTGCCTGCCCGTGGGCTCCCGGGCTGGCTCCGTGCTGCCGGGCTTGGGGGGGTTTTAGGGGAATTTGTTAGGGGTCAGAGCCTGAAGGGCTCTTCTCCTCCTGCCCAAAGCCGGGAGAGCCCAGCGGTGGCTCGCCACGGCTGCTGATGGATAGGGGAAATGGTGGTGGCTGAGGATAAGTGAAAGCGCAGCTTGCTCCTTTACTGCAGCGTGGTTTGAGCCGTCTGAAGGGGGATGCAGAGAAGTGGAGGGGAGGGGGCCAGAGGTGGGCAGAAAGGGCCCTCAGTCATTCCAGTGATATCAAACAGAGGGCCAAAGTCTTACTGTTCTCCCAGAATGCTTGTCCATTCCTAGGTTAAAATGGGAATGAATGCATGTTGGATTAAGTAGTGCTGATATACTTAATTATCCATCGTCTTTATATACATGTATATATTGTAATTTGCATAAGCATATTTTTCAGAAAAGAAGCCTTTGTTGAGCCTTTAGCTGTCATCCTGTCTTGTATGATGCTGATGGTCAACTCTGAGAAATGGAAGAGGGGAGTGAAACACTGTCCTGATTGTTATTCTTCACGCTAGAGTTTTTCTGTGTGAGTAAAGATCTGCAGAATGTTTGATTTTCTTTTTTTTTTTTTTTTTCAAAGCAAATACAGACCTAAAGGTCCATGCAATCAGAAAGAAAAGTCAAAATAAAGAAAGAGTAAGGATGTTGACTACCTGGCACACAAGTAGGACAAAATACAGAGGCTGGTGTGGGAAAGGTTGCCTGGAAAATAACCTGGTGTGTGGTTGTCACAAACACTCTTGCAGCAGGCACTGCAGTACACATGCCTGGGTGTGAACTGGAGCCAAATTAAAAGCCTGTTTGGTTCTAAAGATAAATGTGGTCTTACCTCATTCATTAGAAGCTGATACAATAACATCACACTTTCCCTAGTCAGTGGCTGTGTTTCTGCAATCACAAGCAGCTAAAACAATGCAGAAGGAACTGAAACCAGATCTGCAATTAGCAACGTAATTTCAGTATGTTGAGATAGACCAAAAATAATGTGAATCCACTGGGGCCAGATGCTCCTGTCCCACAAGTGCAAAATAACGGAGGACCCTGAATATGTGATAGAATAGGGTAGCTTTTACTGTCGCATGGGTCAATGTAGGACCACAAACACTGTTACTAGATTAAAAGTAGCCCAAGTACACCAAAAATGCAACTACAGCAGCTAAAATGCAGCTACAGCAGCTACTGCACTTCAGACATAGCTAGCACCTTGTAATTATAGGAGCACATAGACCTATATTAGCTGCATGTATCATTACCCTGACTGTGTATGGTGAGACCAGAGAATACTCAGTAGTTTCATGCTGCTGCCCTGCTGTTACAAGAATTATGCAAACACATCTGAGACACAGAACTATTATAACCTAGTTAAAACAATACCAACAAGTCATATAAAAATAAATAAATACAAGGGGAAAAAAAAAAAAAAGCATACAAAGCAATGGATAAGTGACTACTTGTTCTGGATAATGTAATTATTTTTTATAGTGTGATGCTGCTGCACATGAGCAGTTGATCACTTTGCCTGACACGTGAAATTCTGAACATGTGCACAGTATTCAGGCACAGGTTGCGTGACACCATGCAGGAAGATGTTCTTTCAGGAAGATGTGCTTTCAAAAGCTTTTCTATGTACTTTCATACTAAGTCCAACACTCCTGGGAAGAACTGAAATGATCCATTACACCTATGCAGTACAGCTGGTTTTACAGATGCCTACTTAGTAAGTCTGACTCATCTCCAAAGGTGCATTTGTGCATGCTGTACATACACAATATGATAAATTTACCATTTTCTGGAAATACCAGATTGGCTGTCTTTTTCCTACGCGGCCTGTATTTATATCTTTCTGACTGGAAAATCCCCAACAGAATGCTGTGGCCTTAGAATGTAGCCCAGTTACAAAACACAGTTATTGTATGAATGTCCTCTCTCTCTTTCTTTCCTCATTTTGTTTAGTTTTTGAGTTAGTGTCACTACATCTTACTTTTCATCACTTTGTAGGGCTCTTCTACACACTGAAAGAAAAGTATAAAACATAAAAATGGGCATTGGCACTCACAACAGGTGTAATATTTGGAACAACTTCAGCATTTTCATTTGAAGAGGAACATCAGAGCATAAAAAGCAGGGAAATAAACATTTGTTTCAGAATGTAATAGTTGTATATATGTTGATCTAGTATATTTTTATATGTTCATTTTACCCAGAGGCAGATTTGTTTCTGAGCTTCTAAGTGGTGGAAAAGAAAATGTATATGTTGGTAGACACATGTAGATTTTGCCTCTAAGAACTGATAAGTTCACTAATGTCTACCCACGAGTTTGATCCTTTATCTTCACCATGAGATCCTTCCCCTCTCTTTACCCACCATGCTAGTAACTTATATTAATTAAAAGTGCCAGTGATGGCATTGCTTTTTAGATTAGTAGTTAGGTTGTCAGTTTCTCATTTGGTTCATAAAAAAATATTTTTTTACCTGGGCCTTCCATTGAGTTATAGGTAGTAAGATAAGCAGGAACACCTCAGCATAAGAGACCTACAGTGTCTTAGAGTCTGATGTACAGCATCAGATGTCCCATTTTGATCCCTCTTGAGTGTCAGTGCTCTCCCCCCAATGTATTTGAATGCTCCCCACAGTTTAGTGTACCTGCTGGGAGTGTTTCCACTCTGTCTTGGAGGTTGTTAGTGAGGACTGTAAGCAGATCGACTCCAGTATTGAACACTGAGAAATGCCACAAGTGACTAGCTACTGTTCATTAAGCCTGGCGCTTCAACCAAATTATACCCACATTATAAGATATCCAGTACATATCTGCCCAATTTGTTTGCAAGGATGTTATGGTAGACCATGTCAAAAGCCTCATCAGAGTAAAGGCAAACAGGCACTGTGGTCCCCTGCCCCTCACTGCCAGCCATTTCATTGTAGATTTTCCTTGTTAAATCTGTATCAACTATTCCAAATCACCTTCTTGTCCTTCGTGTGTGTGGAAATGTCTTCCAGGATAATTTTCTCCATCACCTTCCTGGCAGCTGACCTGTAGTTCCCCACATCCTCCTTGCCTTCTTGAAAATGGGCACATTTGCCATTTTCCAATCATTTCAGGTCTTCCCCTGTCATCATGATGACAGATGATAGAGAGCAGTCTCACAGTGGCATCAGCCACTTGGATGCACTCAGTGCACCTGGTCCCATAGACTACTTTAAGTCTATTTTTTTTAAGAGGGCCATGTTCTTCCTCTATCAGAGGTGGTGCTATGCTCCCCCAAACTCATCCTCAAAGCAGAGTTAAACGAAGATTAAGAAATCCTGGGGTGAATGCTGTTTGTCTGACATTTTGCATGGAATATGATGCAAATGGATCTTTCTTCTTATACTGTTTCATCAAAAAGAGCAAAATTCCCCAGGCTGTAAGCACTGTAGCTATTTCAAAACAGGGATGCTTCCTGCTACTACTTTGTAAAGCACCTAAGCTCCCTAAAGGGGAAAGATTTTAAAATGTTCACTACTCATTTCTCGTTTGCTACACCTTGTCAAGTCACCAGTGAGCTTTTCTTTTTTAGGCTTTTTATATATCATCATAAGGCACCTTACTTTCTCCATGTGTTAGAGACCCTGTGCTGCCAGCTGCAGCTTTTGAGTCTTGCTCTGAGTGAGGCACATACCAAAAAGTTAGGTGTTGACATATTCTGTGTAGTGGCTCCAAAACTTTCCTGAATCTATGTAAACTACATGGGAAAAGGAAAAAAAAAATCTGAACAAAATCAGATATGTTGAATATATCACTTGCTTGATTACCTTATGTATTCAATAAGCAGTGTGTGTACTTTATTACACCAAAAGACTACAAGGCCACCCGTATTGCACAACAAAGAACATGCCAAGAACATTAAGTGTAGTGCTGGTTGCCTATTTAGAGATAGAGTACTACTCATGAGCTTTGGAAAAGCCCAAAATTATATTGAGAAAGAAATTGTGAGTCATTTTTCCTTTTTTTTTTTTTTATAACTATTCCCCCTCCTACATCTGTGGGACTCAGCAGGAAATAGAAACAAACATTAAATCAGGCATCTGAAGAAATAAATTGGGGCAGGGGGGAGGGAAGAGGAAAATGTTCATACACATCTGGCCCATAGTTGAGTTAGAATATAAGTACTCATTCATTGCCCTTATATGCATTTGTCTTAATCTGATACAATATGGAAGTTCCCATTTTACTGTGTATCAAACAGCATGAGCCCTTACAGCCATGCTTACAAAGAACATTTTACCCCTGGTTAAACATATGTTAACTTTGTTTCAATTTTATATTAAAGGTTGCATTACACACAAAATGGTGGGGGAAAAAAGGCAATTTTTTTAATTTAAAATTTTGCAGAAAAGTGATGGGCAGGCCTCC